CCATCTAGACATTTACTAGCAACAAGTCCAAAATTAATTCTCTGTCATGATTTGGGGTTGTGTCAGTGCCCTTGGCTAGGGTAACTTTCACTTCAGTGAAGACAGCATTCATGCTGAAAAATACCCTGAGATACTGGAGCAACATGTGCTGCCTTTAAGAAGACTTCTTTTCCATGGATGCACATGAATATGCCAACAAGAAAATACAAAACAGCATTCTGCAGGCATTGCCAGGGCATGGCTGTATAAGAACAGGGTGAGGATGCTAAACTGGCCAGCCTTTGGTCCCGACTCTTCCCTGATAAAGAGTACATGGTGCATTTTGAAACGCAAAATTTGACGACACCGCATGGCACTGTTGCTCACCTTAACCCCTTTGCACAGAATACAACATAATCCTACTTTTCCTGTTATGTGTGAGCCTATTTAGGCTTTGTAACTCAGAATTTGTGTCACAGAGACTATGGAAAATTATTCCAAGCGAAGCAAGATGTGGAAATTCAATTACAGAATTGTTTGGGAATTAAATTTCGGAATGAACGGACGCCGGCGTCTATATCTGTGCAAAATGGTTAAGACCTGTTTGCAGGAAGAATAGGACAGAAATATACCAGAAACACTAAATCACTTGGTGTCTGCAGTCCTTGAATGTAACCAAACAAATCAATGTTTGGTTGCTAATTAAGCAAGGTAAAATATTGAAAGGAGAGGAAACTGCTGACCTTTCATTTTGCTGATGGCAAGCCACTGTTACACAGTATTCTAAAGGAGGCTTTAATCTTCAAAGGGAGGCTGCACAAAGTATTGATTGAAGGTGATTGTTTCTGACAGGATTATTTCTTTTAATACAACTAGTTTGATCATCCAGTGTGATGACCAAAAAACAATGCAAATACATCTACTCAGCACTAAGAGAGCGCCTAACTCTGCCAATGCATTTGTCAGCAAGAACTGAAGAAATATGGGTGCGGTGGCACCATTTAAATATGAATCCATTTCCAAAATTTAAACAATTGTTCCTGGTCCATGGCCCACTCTTCCAAAAAATATCATTGAAATTGATTGCAATCATTGGAAGATAACGTCAGGACAAACAAACAAACAAACAGACAAAAAAATAGACCTCCACCCTGTTTCATTAACGGAGATAATAATGGGATCAATAACAGAAATGGCAGCCAAAAATGTAATTTGTGTTTTAGAGATAATGATGAGTTAGAGAATTGTCCAGTGACCTTTTGGAAGGATTCCAGGCCACGCCTACTTTATGCTGAAGGGTCATGGGAATGGTGCACAGTGAGGTCTGTATCTAGTTGGACCGCAACAAAACAGTAATTCCAGCATGACTCACTCCATATGGGCGTAAAAATAAATTGAAGAATGTCTGCTTTAATTTCAGTTTGTTCATTCATATGAATTGAACCACACTGCCAGCATTCCTTGAACTACGTGACATTTTATAAAAGTACAAAGTACTGCACTGTCAGCCCTTTCTTTGGCCGTCTAACAAGGGTGACAGACATGGAAGCAAATAAGTGACATAAGTATTTGAATTTTAATTTCAAACTTTAATTTGAAGTCGGTTCGATCCCATTCAGGGTTGATTGCCCATCCTGTCCCGAGTAGCTCGGATGTTTCTATACTGAAAATATTTCACTTGAATTTTGACCAATTGAATTTGAATAACGTTGTATTTAAATTTTTTCAACTTGAATTTTTCTGATCTGAATTTGACCAATTTGAATTGAAATAGAAACATAGAATTAAAACAATTCATACTTTGATTTCAAAGAGATCAATTTAGAACAAATAAATTCAGATTGATGGTTTTCAGAGTAAAATATTTAAATACTATGAATTCAGTGGTGTTTATATTTCAATATTAAGAATGCAATGGCTGTTGAAATTCAAATACTTATGTCACTTATTTGTTTCCACAGATAGATGTGAGTATACCTGGAAACCTTTGGGGAACCTGATGTGAGAGCATGGCTACAATATTGGGGAATGACTATTCACTGAACCATCAGCCGATGCATCACTGCTAAACATGGGTACTGTTTTCCATTGCATTTTCATTTTGAGTTGAACAAACCTTAACTCTGTGTCTCATTATGCAGTGAGTCAGCTCCTGAATCATCTGGGAGGGGGATACTGCAGAGTGACGTTCTGCAGTAATCAGACTATACTAAATAAATTCACAGGCAACTAATTGGGAGGCTAAACAAATATGAGCTTAAAAGGCATTAACGGACTTGCTAAGGAAGTGCCAAACAATCGTGGCTGGTGACTGACAACAGTCTGAAAATAGTTATTTCCAGATGAAGAAAGGAGAGGTGCTGATTTATGCAACAGTGAGATAGTTAAATGAGAAATTTCCAATGATTTTAGAAGATTAAACCAAAGACACATGTTTTACAAAGCAAGATTATGAGGTTAGTAGGAGAACTGAACTGAGCAAAACCAGGAACAGCTACTTTTGCTTAATGCTTGAATTTAATGACGGTTCCAGGTTTTGCTTTGTGCACTTATCCGGCAAACTCAGTATCCTGCTCTGTGAAAGACTCAGTGTAAGGCAGTATTGTGAGACAAATGAATTACATACCAACAGAATTCTGAGCACAGGCCATTTAGCCTAGCAAAGCCCAACACTGTCAAACTGCGTAAGTATATGTAACACTAGGAGTACTTACAAAATAAATTGAATTTAGCAGTGTTTTAAGTCTGTTTTTTTTTTTTTTCCTCTACACAATGACCGGGCATGCTACTCCGCACAGTGACCACTTCCACTGTTTTCCCTGCAAAATGGTTCTGGTTCTTAAACCAATTCCATCCAAAATTCTTTTAATGTCAGTTCGCTCAAATGAACTTGCCTGTGTTCCCACCAGGTTTGAGTGGTACCAATGCGTCACCAATGGAGGGCATTGCACAATGCAGCAGAAATGGAAGTAAACAGTAAGCTAGGGGAACCGCATTGATTACCGCCAAGCTATTGTTCTGTTATTACAGATATTTGTTTTTATCCAAAGAACAAACATGGACTATCCTTCTCTACTCTGTCTACAATAACCACGGCAACTAATGTCACAAGAATGTTTCACAAGAAAAACCTATTTCTTGATTCCTGTTCCGAACCAAATTTTGCGGTCTCAAATCTGTCTATTTTTGGTGAAAATGCTTTGAGCAGTTCAAAATTGGGCACGTAAACGGGAACCAAACCATCTCTCTGCCAGTGTAAAAGGCCTATTGGTGGAAAAAGAAAAAAATATATACCAAAATTTTTGGATTTTTGCACCAGATTCAATAAGCAGTAATTTGTAATTAGCTTCAGAAAAAAGACTTTTTTGTTACATGTCCAAGAACAGAGCCAAATGTAGAATCACTGACATGACATGACATGACATATAGAACTGGAGTGAGTTTTTTTGCAGAATGGTCCATGTTCCAGTGGGGACAATCAGGTACTAGTGGAATAGGCAAGGTGAAGTCGATGGTATGGTACGTGCTGAGTAACCGAGATGGCAAGCTGAATGAACCAGGGCACACTGGGCAGGTGCACCCATTTCAATAGGTACGAAGAAGGTGCTAAGAAGAAGCCACCCGCCAGGACCGAAGACTCAGGAAGGAATTATCCTGATAGTTAGACTGTAGACTTTTATTCGAGATACACCGACAATGCAGGACACAAGACACAAAACAACTATCCAACAAAGGGAAGACAAAGAATTGGAACTTAAATACACAAGACGACAATCAATAATGACAAAAAACAAGAGTGCAAGAAAGACCAATGAAATAATGAGGGAGAAGAGTAAAATGAGACAAATTAATGAACAACATTAAACAAAAACTGACACAGGTCTACAGCTGGATTGCGGGGAGACACAATCAGGGAAACACTCAGGATAAATAAACCCAAAAATTGAAACTCTCCGTGGCCCTACTTCAGTTGTACAATAAAGTAGGGGGTTTGCTTTTTTAGTAAAGATGTCTTTATCAGACATCTTTCTATTCTAAAACTCATTATTGCATGGATAATTGAATGACTGGACTTTATTTGCATGTTCCAGATATTGCCATGAATGGGATTCAAAATGTGACCTTGTCTCAGTGGACCATGAGTCGAAATTTAAGAATTTTCCTGAGAATAGTCCTAAATAATGTCTATCAACAGGTAAATTTATTTTATACGATGCAAATGGCTTCATACTGAAATATTTGTGCATGCTTACTTATTTAGATCCAACCATACCAAGAATATGGTCAGTCAGTCCAAGGTGCGTTTTTATGATGTGATTGTTGTCAGTATTTTGAAATACAAAATCAGAGACCCAATCAATATATTCTCTCAGTGGAAAAAATACCCGTGCCATTCAAAAATTATTTCAATGTGAAACTATATGCATTACCGGTACATAAAATAATTTGATCTGTAAACAGAGTTTGTAAAGGACTATTCTCAGAAAAAAAAATACAGTTTCTACTCAGTGGTCCATATAGTCAAATCAGGTTTTATACACGGTCGTATTTTAGAGCCCTTCAAGAGCACAGCTGAGGTTAATACCTGTATGAAATATCATCTGTCAACATCATCTGAGCAGTATTGCATTTCTGGATTCAGAGATGCCTTGTAAAAACAATCCTATGATATTAAGTTCTATGTATGTCTTTTTACTCCCAGTTGGGTCTTTCTGGGATTTTGAGCGACTTTTGCCAAAAAGCCAATTTTAGGGAGTCATAAGTAAAACACAAGGCACTACTCACCGAATCTTATGCCAAAATACAGAAATTTGGATACAAATTAATCTACTTTGGCTCAGACAGCTCCATTACTGATTCATAGTCTCCTAAGCTTGGCAAAAATAGCAAATTTGCGCTAGAACAGCTAGAGGGGGTTCTCAGGCCTAATATTGAAGTCCCATGTCTGCAAAACTAGTGGGGTTTAAGAGTTATGTGTAATGTTGCATGTTTATTATTATCATAGAGATAAATATTTGGGTGGCACGGTGGCGCAGTGGTTAGCACTGCTGTCTCACAGCAAGAAGGTCATGGGTTTGAAACCGGCCTGGGGCCTTTCTGTGTGGAGTTTGCATTTCCTTCCTGTGTTTGCATGGGTTTCCTTTGGGTACTCCGGTCTCCTCCCACAGTCCAAAGACATGCATATCAGGCAAATTGGAGATGCTAAATTGCCCCTAGGAATGAGTGTGTGAACGGTGTGTGTGCCCAACAATGGATTGGCGAACTGCCCAGGGTGGGCAGTTTTGCCTGAGTCAGCTGGGATAGGCTCCAGCTCCCCTGAAACCATAGTGAGAAAGAAGCAGCTTTAGAGAATGGATGGATAAACATATTTTAATGTTTTCTCCCGATTCTGAATGCGTCACCTGCGGACCTCTAGGTGCATTTGAATGACCCTGTAGCATTAGTAATATTATTATTTCAGATCATGCCAGTCTTTTCATTAAGGTTGATATTTCTCACATGACTCAAGGGAAATAGTCATGGAAATTTAGTTCATTCCTTGCAAGTGATCCTAATTATCCGCATTTTTAAAAATATCTGAAAGAAAAACTTAATATCTTCTTCGATGAAAATAGGACCAGTTGGCTCATCCAGCAAGAGCGTATGTATGTAGATTGGTAATATCATTTTTGGCTTATCAGAGACAGGAAAGCAGAGAGGAACACTTGAATCAGTTTTATATGACCAATGAGATTCTGCTCCAGTCCATCATATGATTGAACGTGTAAAATACAGACCGTAAAAATCTATTTGAAGGCAATCTGAGGTAAAAAAAAAAAGATGAAAAATCTATTTCCTTCGCAAGGCAACAATTATATGAGTTTGCAAATAAGCCAATTAGTTATGAAGCCAAACTTCTCAGGAGCAGATATTATGTTCAAATTTTTCTGTTATCAAAGATTTAAGTAGCATTCCTAAGTATGACAGCAAAGAGTATAATAAGAGTATAATTCAGCCTTAGCCATGACTAATTTCATTTAAAGAAGAACTAAAAAGGGTTTGAAGTTTTGATTTTTGTGTTTTAGTGGTAAATTATGGATTAAATAATTTTTTAAAAATCAACTTGAGAGATTTGGGTAAGAAATACGTTTTTAGAGGCACTTTTTGTCTGCGCCTACATTGTCAGAAATCCACAAAACATGATTGTATATGTGAACACTTGACATCATTCTGAGACTCAGTTGCACTGTGTGCACTAGCTTTACAGTGTGAAATTGAGCCTTAGTGCTACATACAGTTACAGAACTGTTGCCTTAAATCGAGCTGTTAACAGATTGTTGTTCACGTTGTGTCTTCCTCTTGTCTTTATAAAAAATCAATAGCAACAAAAGCTCAAAAATACATTGATTTTTTAATGCAAAATAAGGTTTGTGTTGCCGCTGTAGCTACTCAAGTCAGAGTCAGAAGTAGAGGCTGCGTTCGAATTGCGGGATGGTGCTATTTATTTACACAAGCAGGAAGACATACAGAAAGGTAGAAAGAACACAATTATAACAAATATCAGCCCGTGACAAATGAAATAATTAAAGCTGTTCAGAGCATAGACTGTATATACAACCCCAATTCCGAAATAGCTGGGACAAAGTGTAAATTGTGAATAAAATCAAAATGCAATGACTTTCAAATCACACCAGCCAGTATTTTATTCACAATAGAACAGAGATAACATAACAAATGTTGAAACTGAGAAATTTTACAATTTTATCCACAAAATGAGCTCATTTCAAATTTGTGGGCTACTACAGGTCTCAAAAAAGTTGAGACGGGGCCTGTTTACCATGGTGTAGCATCCCCTCTTCTTTTTAACACAGAGTGGAGGCGTCTGGGCATTGAGGAGGCAAGTTTCTTGAGTTTAGCCATTGAAATTTGATCCCACTCTTGTTTAATACAGGCTTCCAGCTGCTGGAGAGTCTTGAGTCTCCTTTGACGGACTATTCGTTTAATTATGCGCAAAATGTTCTTATTCGGTGAAAGATCAGGACTGCAGGCAGGCCAGTTCAGCACACAGACTCTTTTACTATGAAGCCATGCTGTTGTAATAGCTGCAGTATGTGGTTTTGCATTGTCCTGCTGAAATACACAAAGCCTTCCCTGGAATAGATGTCATCTGGAGGGGAGCATATGTTGCTCTAAAACCTTTACATACCTTTCAGCATTCATGGTGCTTTTTAAAACATGCAAGTGTCCCACACCATATGCACTAATGCATCCCCATACCATCAGAGATGCTGGCTTTTGAACTGAACGCTGATAACAGGAGGGGTGGTCTTTCTCCTTTTTTTTTTATTTATTTAACCCTTATTTAACCAGGGAAGTCACTTTGAGATTGAAATCCATTTTCAATGGAGCCCTGGGGTTGGAGCTCAACAATGGGAGGGAGTTTTAGGCAATCTGTTTGCACAGCCAAGTGGATCTGGGATGATAAAGGTGGCAGGTCAGAAGAGCCAGGTTGGGACTTTAGCCATGACACCGGGAACCCCCGCACAGAGATTTTTTCAGTTTCTCTTATCGATGAGAGTGTCATAGGATCTTTAATGACCACAGTGAGTCAGGACCTCGGTTTAACGTATTCCTCATCCAAAGACAGGTTCTCCTTCAGTACAGTGTCCCCGCCACTGCACTGGGGCATTGGGGATTATTCCACCAGAGGGAAGATCGCCACCTACTGGCCCACCAACACCTCTTCCAGCAGCAACTTGGGTTTCCTCGGTGTCAACATTTCTGAGACATGTCTCCCATCCAAGTACTAACCAAGCCCATCGCCTGCTTAGCAATGGTTCAGCCACGAAATGGCTGGAGCAGAACGCGATTTAGTGGTATGGCTGCTTTTTAGCCGGATTTGGACAAAACACCCATGATTTTCCAACAAGAATGTCAAATTTGAGTTTAGAATCTGACCACATGACACTTTGCCACTTTGCTACAGTCCATTTTAAATGAGTCTTGGCCAACAGAACATGGCAGCGCCTCTGGATCGTGCTCAACAATGGCTTGCAATTTTTGCATGATAGAGTTTTAGGTGGCATCTGTGGATGGCACGTGCAGACAAACAATTTTACAGACAGTGGTTTCTTGAAGTAATCCTGGGCCCATTTAAAAATGTCAATGACAGAATCATGCCGGTGAGTGATGTAGTGGCGTCTGAGGGCCGAAGATCACAGGCATCCGTTTGCAAAAAAAAAAAAGGTAATCGGGCTTGTCCAGATTTTTCACAGAGATTTTTTCAGTTTCTCTGAATCTTTTGATGATGTTATGTGCTGTCAATGATGAGACCTTAAAAGCCTTTGCAATTTAATTTAATTAAACACGTTTTCCAATTCAAGAATAATCAAGTGGCAATTGAAGACACGGCCTCTCTCCCCCATGCGATCTAACAGCAAATAATGGGCTACATTCAGATGAGAAAATAATTTAATTATAATTAGGTCTATGCACTGGCACTTAGCAACGTTAATTTTTTTTTCCAGCGAGAGCGGCATTTCAGAACTCATTTGCGAATGAAGGTAATTTCGGCAAGTACCTACACCTGTTTTTGCAGCATGGTCACGCAACTTGCTGTAAAAAATAGACAGCTGTCAGACTGGAAAATGTAAACGGAGGAAACCACGTATACTTGTCATCAGAATTACCTTCATTCGCTGAAGAGTTCTGAAGTGCCGCTCTCGCTGGAAAAAAAATTACCGTTGCTGAGTGCCAGTGCATAGACCTAATTATATTAAATAATTTTTCTGTACTGAATGTAGCCCATTATTTGCTGTTAGATCGCATGGGGGAGAGAAGCCGTGTCTTCAATTGCCACTTGATTATTCTTGAATTGGAAAACGTGTTTATAAAGGAAAACCATCTAGAATTAGCCAGGATTAATTGTTGTCAATAAAGGGATGGATAATTTCCCCCGAATTTTCAAATCTATCGCTGGCCTGGACCCGCCATTACGAGTTATCTCATTCAGCATAAAAATTCGATAAGTTTCCATTAGTTTTCGAAAAATTGCCCTCACTTGTTGATAACTTTTGTTGTCCCGCTTCTCTGGTATCATTTCCGTCACGGCCGTTATGCGCATCACAACTGCCATCTGTTGGCCTGTTTGTGTACTGCACCATCATCTCCGTGATGTCACACACAACCGCCACTTCCACGTTACCATGTAAGCCAAAGTTTCCCTAACTTTTTCTCCAAATCTCCGGAAACCATCCATTCAAAAGGTGAGTAGTCTTATTATGTGTCATCTCTGAATGCTCTTAAATTTGTCAGTGAAGCGATTCATGGCATATTATGCCGATTTGGTGATATCATGCATGTTTTTATGTGGTGCATTGCGCTCATTCGGGCCTGTCAAGGTAAATGGACTGCGTGCACGAGGCTTCCACATGACAAATCTGTCATATCCGTCTCGATCATTTCCGTCACAGTAACAGGGGTGGGTCTGACTAACAGGCTCTACATTTTCTTATTAGTAATGGTTAAATTACATTTTAATTTCATTATAATCCTAATTCAAAAGTCGTCTACTTATGAATTCCGCAATTCCAGAGATCCACCCAAAAAGCATGTGAATGGTTGCAACGTTGTCAGGAACGGAAATATAGACGTTACTGTAGAATCACTCAGTAAACATCTTCACATTGTCTTCACACCAAAATTGAGAGTGAGATTTTTGACAATGTTCCTCATACAGCCTCCAACTACAAAAAATCGAGGCATCCTATATTAGTCGAATAAATTGTATTAAAAACAAACCCAAAGGCGAAGGTTTAGCTCGCATATTTTGTACGGAACATATACACTTATTTATCCATGTCGAATCGAGAGCTGCAACAAGTCATGCATATATTAACACGTAATTAGCTTTGCAAAAATCAGGAAATCGTATTGCAGCTGGGCTAGTTTTTGATCTTCTTTTTTCAACACAAATAGGATGATTGAGTTTGATATCAAGTGTGTTCGGGGAAAGAGTAATATAAAGTACCTAAAACTGCCGAAACCGTGAAAAAATTAGGTAGGCTATGTAGTAGTAGTGTGGTAAATTTAATTTTCTTTTTGAACTTTTCATT